AGTGAAATAGGACACAAAAGAATTCTTTATGGTTTTATATAATAATATAGTGTGTGTGTGTGTAGAGGAGGGTATGGTTGTATGAAGGATAAGCAGAGGGGGTAATTCTATCTCTGTTCAATAATGGGATAGAAAATTAATTCCCATCAAGTCCTGAAAGGAAATAGGAAGTTGAGTAATGGAGTAGTTTGAAGGATTGTATGTATGCATCTGAAAGATTTAGAGCATTTCCACTTCTCCATAGGGGAAGATTTAGGACTGTTCTCCACTATGCCTTTAAGCTGTTCCTGTTCCATGTTGATGCTTAGCTGGACTCCAAGTTGGTTTAAGAAAATTCTGTCTGTTTTGGGACATATGGTATTAGTAATTGCTTGCCAGATGTTTAGCTTAGATTCCCAGCATCAACAAAATACAACCATCCATCCACCCATCTCATAGACAATTTCCATGCTGCTGTCCCAACTTTTGACACCAGAAAAGCAAACCACAAGTTCAGGGTCAGTGGCTGAAATCCAGCATATTTTTTTTAATTACTATTTCTCTTTCCTTGGATTACTCCCTTTACTGTTTTCTAATTTCTAATAAGTTCTAGCTCCTTTATTATTTGCAGTATTTATTTATTTGGGCTATTCGGGTGCTTAGAAAAAAAATGAAAGCTCCATCATTTCAACAACAATAATAATAAACTGTTGGGTTTTTTTAAAGCAAGCAGATGAGGTGGGTAGCTCAAGAAAACTAGTGATTAAGAAAAGAAAATGTTTCTGATAGGTTCAATCCAGTGACCTATGAACATGAGGCACATTGTGTAATGAGTATATTACTTAGAGATTAATAGTAGTTGCACCAGAGTTTATGGAGCCAAACCTGGGAAAACACAGGGAAGGACTGTTTATTAATGGGGCAACAACCACTGATCTGGGCAAGCAGAGGTTCCTATCCCTGCATCCAATAGTCAATCAAAGCACAGAGATTTGGCCCAAAGAAAATAAAGTGTGGCAGGTAAACCCCATTACAATACTTCAGTTGCTGGCAGCCAGAACCCCACTTGAATGGCAGACTAAGGGGTCACAGACACAGTGGGCTGAGGATAACTAAAGGACTATGTGATCAGTTTCTGCCCTCCAGAGTTGATTGCCACTTCTTGTGACAGTATAATATGGCAAATCATTAACAGAATCTAATTTTAAAAATTGAGATTAAAAATACTTGGCAGTTGATTTTTCCAGAATCAATAATTGGTTGCTTGTATGGGACACTAATTTAATCAGTGCTTTACAGAATGAATTTCTATACTTTTCAGTGAAGAAATTGTCATCTACCTTCTGCTCCATGGTTTCCAGAATGTTGTTTATGCCAAGATGATTCACCTAGAAGGAATTGCATGGATCAAAGCTTTTGGCTGAGTATTTTCCCTAACAATTTTTGTTCAGACCTGGAAAACTACAATATGACACAGGGAATCTATTTCTTTTTGTATTTTTTTTTCCTTTTGTGGATCTGTGCCTGAGTAGTTCTGGGAAACTAGCAACCTCATTGTATTTTAATTAGAAGATTTAATTTTCCCCTAGCAACTTGTTTTGACGTAAAATAACAAAGACATCAGAAGTTGTCAAAGCGAGCAATTCTGTGAGAAAAACCTGCTTGAGGTGTCTGAGTAAGAGTATTATTATAAAACTCAGCTTCAGAAAAAAGCAAATAAATATGGCAGAATGGCATGTTTAAGGCAACAGCAGACCAAACATTGTGTTCATATAATTCCTTATTCATTCGTTTTCACAGTCACTGAATGACTTTGGGCCAGTCACTCTCTCTTAGCCCAACTCACTTCATGGGGTGAGTTTTGAGTCAGTTACTAAAATAATAAAGGTGGGATTAAAAAGTCTTTTTTAAAAAGCTGTGGCATATGAATCAATTAGCTTGTCTGGAAATAAAACACACAACGAATTAGCTATCTTGGGCACTGGGCTGGGAGGACAGAAAATAGAAGTCTTTCTCAGATCACTGGCTTTCTAGTCCTCTTCCTGAAGCAGTTGCTTCATTCCATTTAATGCTAAGGTTGAATCTTGTTCAATTTTCAGAGTTCCTCAAAGGACACTGCAGCTTACCATCATTTGAACTGCTGGCATTGTCCTAACACTACAACAGCAAAGTTGTCTGGAGGAGCTGCTAAACCAGTCCAACAAGGCATGCTTTTATTGGACATAGTCCTTTCCCTTCAGAATGAACATTTCTATCAGCAAAGCATATGAGCCAACAGATTTGCAGAATCCAACATAAACATATCACAACTGTTTGTTAAAAATCTACAACAGTCTACATCCAAACTAAGTAAAAGAAATCATAAAAGTGTCAGGCTGGAAAGCAGAGCAATCAGAAAGAAAGAGACGGTTATATGAAGACTGGAAAGAGACTATGAAGAAGGCTTCATGTGACATTTGAGAGGGCATGTTGCACTCTTTCTTCTTAAGAAAGTCCAGTAGTTCACCCATCACTCTTTGTTTTTTCTTCCATGCTTTATCTGTCCAACTTTTCATTTTTAAAAGGTATTATCACTGGTTTATTAATGGATAAATACAGTTTTATAGTATAAATATAATGCTCTAGATATTGGAATATTTTTTGGTTGTTGGACAGGGTTGGACAGCTGGCTTCTGATATAGAATAGCAAATGATTCTTCCTGCCCATTTCCTTCCAAGCAAAATCCCTTAAATGAATCTTATATTAGATTTGGACATATTTAAATATATAAAAAGTATTTCAAGGCATAACCATTACTTTACAGCTGTTACATCTTTCTCCATTCATAGACTGGTTCCCCAAAACACATTCATTTTTTTTCTCTGTTCCATAGTCAGTTTTGTGTTTGACAGAAAACTGCATCTGATTTTGAGGGACGAAGATCGATCAGAGTGAGGCCCAAGAAAATTATCGGAGAATTGGTAAATATTGTAACAAACAACATAGTATGGAACTGAAATTCTTGCCAAAGTTCTAGCCATTAGAAAAACATTTAAAACTTTTCCGCTCACAGAAAAGGCATTACTTGTGAATAAAATATTTCTCATGAGGTGTTCTGTTTTTCAAAAAGAAACATATTTTCTTCATTAATTTTGGTTGTGTTCTCTGTCAATTACACTGTCTAGAAACTACATGTTCCACTTCAGAATTTCCAGAAGTAATTTGCTAGTCTCGTGGAAAGAGCATGCCCCAAAGGTGCTTTTTTAAAAGACAACTGGACTTTGTTTCTCCTTCTCATCCAAGAAGCTTCATGTCTTCAAGGAAAAGACGAGAAAGTCCAGTTGCCTTTTGAAAAAAGCACCTTTGGGACAACCATGACCTGGATGACTGATAATCTCCATAGTCATCACAGAAAGAATTTCAGTTCTCTTTCTAAGAGAAGGCCTCCAGAGGAAACATGTCATGTTTTAAGACTTAATCTTCAGAACTCTATGTTTAGGAGTCCTGAATTGTCTGTGAAGGACTAATGATTCCTTACATTGATCAAATGTGAAAATAACTGAACCTCTGTGCTGGAAAAAAATCATTTCTTCTTGCTAGGAAGCTCTCTTCTACATGCCATCCAGAGGAATCTCATAGAATACAATGTCATAAAACACAACACAAGGCAATTGGATGCACCAGGTATTTTCACTATGCAACCCCTGGTCCTTTTGTGAAGGGGAACTAAATCATTGGCAACCACTGAGAGGAGTTTTAGGCATCTTACATATAAAGATCTTCATGCTACTAGCAAGGTTGCATTTTTCCCACTCCCTTTTGTGTGAGAAAAGTTTCATATTCATCAGTCTATTAATCTGTCTGTCAGCTATAGATTTTTATAGGTTGAAAGTTTTGAAAGATTAGAAACAGGAACCTGCTATTACTTACTCATGGCTCACACAGATCTGGAGTAAATTCTGTGCAGGTGCTGTAAGTGCCTTTTACTTATTTCTTCCTCAAGAGTTCTTCCTTCTATCAGCAGACCCCTTACTTCTTTTTCCCAATTTCTTTTTATTTTCTAATACCACAGGCCCACTCAGCATCCAGTCCCCACCGCCAGTCCATTCACTTTTTTGGTCAATGTACTATGATAGGTCACAGAATTGTTTATCTCTGAAAATCATATAGTAACTACCGTTTATTGTTTTAGCTCAGTATTAGCCTATTACCTTTATGTCTAACAGATATCATTCACAATTCTGCTACATAAGAATATTTAAGTAAAGATATCTCATAAAGAACCTGTGTCCGTGTCAAATACTGTTTTCAGTTGAGCCACTGATACAGTATTAATCTATTCTTTGACATTTCTCAGTGTTTCCCATCCCCACATGTTTTCACAGCTGGTTGCTGACACTCCCAGCCAACTTTTATAGCTAATGTTGGTAAGTGGGTTCCCAACCGCATACTATTTTTACTGTTTATTTCATCATCTTCTTGAAGTTTCTCATATATAAAGTTCACAGAATTTCCATTTTTCTGTATATAAGTATATTGAATTAAGAGGGATCAAATAGCATGCAATTCTCAGCATGAAAGTGTATGTACAACTATATTGATGCACAGTTGAAATGTATTCCAAAACGTTATAGTTTTCTTATTTCCCATGGACTTATTAGTGGCAATTATTTGACACAAGTCATGACATACAGATGGAATTCTTATCATGTCTGTTTTTATATTTTGAATCCAAAGTAGAATCAGTAAAAGGATATTTCTTTATCACTTCAACTGTTCATGTTATTATTTCTATGTAATTCATTTGGCATTGTTGTTATACTATTAATCAGTTTCATGTTTTAATGAGTACATCTTTATTTATTTATTTAAAATATTTATACAAAATAATTCTGGGCAACTCAGAACAATGTACAAAAATAACAATACATAATAAATAAATAAAACTATTTGGCACAAACAAAGTGCCATAACATTCGTATCTTAAATATACATGTTCTTAAACATACAAATTCCCATCCTAATTCCTAGAAATAATAAAATACTGGCTATCTTATATGTTATTTGTTTAATTGACCTTTATTGTAATCCTAAAAAGAAAATATTTATTATTTTATCTCAGGGCTCCTGAGAATACACAATAGTATGAAGTCAAAGATTTTTCCAGATGTGCTCTAAAATGGATTGACATTTCAGACTGCAGTGTCAAGACCTTGATCTTGATTCTGGAGGCAGAAGAGACAGCCAATCTGCTAAGGAGTGTGAAGAACTAAAATTAGGCCCCCATAAGCACCAGCTCTGAACCTTAGAAGGTAACTTCTATTCTCCTATGCTGCCATCTCTGCTCAATGTCTTCCAGGCCTGGCCATTCACTTTTTAAAAGTCTTAATTCTTTGAACAGACGATGATGCCTTGAGAATATCCTACTGTACATTGAAGCAGAAATTTGTCATGTCTTATAGTTCACCTCTAGCCCTCCTTAAAGAAAGTTCCTCACTGGGAGCTATCCACAGTGCTGCAACCACCAGCCTTGTGGATACCAATTATACACAGAATATAACAAGAGGTGGATGACCATATCTTTGAATACCACATGCGCACACACATGCGCACACCCACACATGTTTTTCTTCCTGCAAATAGAAATAGTACAGTTAGGATGGCTGCGTAAAGCCTGATGTGTTATTTTACTATGTCCAGAGTCCTTTTATTTCAATATTTATCTACCACGCTTAGAATTCTGAAATACATATTGAGAAAAAAATGATTGCTCAGTGAATTTGAAATGGACTAGAGTTGTTCTTCAAAAACACTTTATATGATTCCACTGTGCTTGATTAGGAATGTTTCCCAAACTAAATCCAAATAATTGCATAATTATTTTAATCAATTTTGGTGACTTAAAACAATCTCCTATTGGGTCTGGGTGTAATTTATAGTGATAGTGTTAACCTATAAAGATATTTATGACTTGGCACTAAGTACCTTCAAAACCAGATATGCCTAGTACTTGACTTCCGGTTTGCCACGCAGCCGCCATGGACGGCTGGGAGACTTGCTCTCTCTCCCCCGTTCAGTTTCAGATCGCTGGGAGGGCCCTGAAAAGGGCCAAAAGTCACCCCGAAGAGGCAACCAGCAAGGAGGGGCTCTCACTGGATCGCGGGAGAACAGCAACTCTCCTGTTGGAGCTGGCGATCCCTCCAAATCGGCGGATGAAAGAACCAGCCATAGAAATATGGCTTGTCCCTAGGCTGCAGACAGCTGAAGTCACACTACCATCTGGCAACTTCAAAGCAGTGTGGAAAGGACTGGGTGAAATCTACCTCTCTTAAATCCTAATTGCTTTTTTGTACCTATTCAAGCTGCTAAAGTACTTTCCCCCCTGTGGGGAGGGAAGGGGGATTTTAGCCCTCTCTCTAGAAACAGTGGCGATCGAATATACAGGGGAGTTTTGAAAATGTTGAAAAAATAATTGGATCCCAATTGGAACTTTATTTCCTAAAGGTTGCGGATTAAAAGATTTTTGATTATCTACTTTTTACTTTCTATTTTTATTTGAAAGTCTGGGTTTTTCCTCTTAAAATAGAAGAAAAAACCCGAAAGGATTAAAATAACTTTGAGATTTAAAGGAATTCCTTAAACAGTGGGTTGACACCTTGTGGCTAAACCTGAAATTGCAATTTATTATTTTTAAAGAAAAGAGACTTGGCTGACAGTTCAGAAAACAAGATAAGATTCATGTGATCTTGAACACCAGCTGTGAGACTTTTAGCGATGTTTCTTATTTACTGGGGGGGGACTGTAAAAGTTTTCAGTTCCACTCATCACTATGGAAGACCAGGAACAGACCTTTTCTATGGAAGAAATGCAAAAACAAATTTTTGCTATATTGAAAATAACTTACCAAACTCTTCTTATAGCTGGTGATGAAATAAGAGCCTTCAGAAAAAAACCAGAAAGCGTCTTAGATATGCAAACTCAAACTTTGACTATAACTAAAAACCTATCTATACAGAATACAACAGAAAAAAACCAAACAATTAAATATTATCACAGAAGACCTAACTGCCCAACAAGTACAGACAATAGAAAATTCAGAAAAAAATCTGACAACTTGGACAGAGGAAACCTGCTATATAAATCAGAAGGAATTTGAAGATCAAGAAGAGAAACAGATGGAAGAAAAGATAAACAGTTCAGGACAACTACGTCAAGAGGAGAAAATAAAGAGACGATCTGGTAGTCCTGCCAGACCCTCAGCCTTCTAAACATGGCTACTGGATGGCCATCTCAATATGACATAATATATACAATAATACAAGAATTCTTTGAGGATCCTGAAGCAAGAACATGGAAGATGATTTGGCAAAGAAAAAAAGCCAAAATAAAACTGAAGAAGAATGGAGTGTGGACATATTTAGGAGGTTTAAAATAGAATATACTTAAGTAGACAAGACCTGTATTTTGAATACGAGATATTGTTATGATGTGAAGATAAAGAAAAATGTTGGCTAATTAAAACCTAGATGCATAAATATCAACAGTTAAATTGAAATATTGAGTTGTTTATAAAGGTTAGATAAAGGTGATTAAGACATATATATGTTAAGAATGATGTAACGTAATTAACATGTTTTGATGTAGTAATAAGAATAAAAATTATAAGCTTAAATATGAGAAAGTGGACCTAAGGAAGAATGCTGAAATGGGAGAAATTTTGGTTATTGAATCTATAATATTTGGAAATTATAATGAAAATAAGAATATTATATTGTATTACTAATCTGTTGATATAGAAGTGAGATAGATATGTATCCAGAACACTAGATATTGGGGGGAATTATGACAAAGGGAATTGGGGTCATTTAAAAATTTGAAAATGATAAATATTAAACTTTTAATTTAAATATCAACGCAAAATTAAAGCTGGGAAAATTCATAAGGTTATTGATAGTCCAAAAGATGGAATGTTAAAATAAATAAGACATATAAAATTATTGATAAATATAAGAAAGCTATTAAGTAGCTGATGGATAGAATAAGAAGTATACTAATTTAAACAAGAGAGATTATGTATTAAGGGAAAAAAAGAGAGGAAATATTGGCTGTAATAGTTGGAGATTTGTATTAATAATACTTGTATGTAATGGAATTATTGTAACTGAGACATCACGTTGCTTTTCAAAGATATAATTGTAACATTGGAAAATTAATAAAAAGTTTAAAAAAACCAGATAAGCCTAGTACAAAATGGCCTATGTATTTCCTGATCTTACCAGGAAAACCAACAGGAAGGCAAGGCAAAATATGGAGTTGTTGCTTTTACATAGCAATTCCAGACCTCTGAAATGGGCTCCTACTGGAACTTAAGTTAGCTCCTATTGGAGCTGCTTTCTGGAAGTAATTAAAAACAGACCTGTTTCAGAGAATGTTTAATTATCTTAAATTGACAATGGATGTTTTAGAACAGAAGTTTAAGCATGCCTATAAAACTGCCAAGAGTCCTATGGGATAGTTGGGCATAGAAATAAATTAATAAGATAAGGAGATGAACAAACAAAAAACAGATCAGAAACATCCTAAAGGAGGCTTATTCTCATAGTCAAGCTTGTCCCGGAAATGTATATAAACATTAATATAACATTTATATAATATAGTACATTGATACATTTAATGAATTAAAACAATTCTTAATTATTTGAGAATTAATTCTGTCTATAACTGATAGATATTTGCCAATAATTTCCCCATATTTTTATAAAAAACTCCATTCTTCTATAAGATTAACATTAATATCTCAAAGATGTCAAAGATAACATAGAATTCAGCAACAATTATACATTATCTCTTTATCTAAAGCAGGGGTGTCAAACTTGCAATGTCGCGTGACATGTCGCAACATATCGTGACTTTTTTCCATTGCTGGCAATGGGGTGGGCACAGTTTCGGCATGACGCATCCGGTCCGCGGGGCGGCAGCTTGACACCCTTGATCTAAAGTGTACATGATAGCACTTTTTCATACAGTCTTTTTCACAGAGACAAAAAGGCATGTGTGGAGAAACAAGATGAACTTGGCCATAGGAATTAGTACATAGGAACCGTTAAAATTAATGCTGTCTAAAACAAATAGATATTTGCCAATATTTCCCCAGATTTTATGCTGATCCTACTTATTTCATTATCAAAATCTAGGAATGCAATATGTTCTTGCACCAAGAGAGGTGACAGGAAGAAGAAAAAAATCCCATTGCACTTAAGACTGGTTAGAATTCCACTGAAAAGATTACTAACAAATATTGAAAAGTTTAAGGCAGTGTACAACAACATAAATACCATTAAAGATCACACATACTGTAGATGATTTGTTTCTTATCAGTTTCCTTTCTCCAGTGCTTCAAGTTGGTATAATAATATGTTGTCTGTAACATACATATGTGAGATTCTACTGTGTTAGAGATGAAGAGCATGTTGTATCCATAGCAAGACTTGCCAACCAGTCCAAGCCCTTCCTATATATGGCCAGTAAAACAAGAACAAACAATCACACTTAATGATTTAACAGTATTGCTTGTATTCTTCATGTTCTGTCCAAAAGATTTTACTGTCCCTTTAGCTTCTCACTATTTTCATCCTGTAAACACAAGCTGAGAAGTTTATCTGGAATTATTTGCTACAAAAATCTTATAAACACTGAGACCTTCAGGGAATACAGCAGGTATTCCAAATACATGTAAAAACAGCATAGAAGTTTCTTAGATTTTGTATGCTCTTTGCTAAAAGGTCTGTGAACTGAAAACAGCAAGGTGAATGCTAAAAGTATAGACACATCAAAGCATAATCCAGACCTTGAGTCTATATTAGAACTCTCTCCCCGTGCCACATTGTAGGCAAAAAAAAAATGTAAAGACTGTAAATAATCTCCACTCTTAGAACTTTTTGAAATTTAGCAAGAAAAATTATATTTGCAAGTGTTGTTCTTTCAATTTTAACCATTAAAAAAATCTTTCTGGTTTTTAAAACATACTTATTGCACTGTCCAAAACTTCTGCACTTGTTTACTAACTGGTAGGTTTCTTCCTCTCATAAACATTTATTATACTTTTAAATATCATCCAATTAGAGGTCAAACAAGGAAAAGGACTACAAATGTTGGCAGGCTTCAGTGAGATTTATGAAGCTTCAGATTTTTGAATCAGATCGTGCTATGAATCAAATTAATCAGCCTCTGACTTGGTTGATTAAAATATGCATGTTTTCTAAATTGTAAATTGGAATCTGAACTTTTATGATAACTGCAAACCTTTCTGTACTTCACCTTTGAAACTATGTGTCTGATCTGTTTGAAGTTTGTAGAATAAAGTATTACATTCAGTTTTCTAATATAATATCACTTTTAATATGCTTATCAAGGCCCACAATAGTCCAACATCTTTTATTTGAAGTAAAAATAGATATAGCAGAGAGAAAAGTAAATGATCTTCAAATGTTATATAGTGTTCATTATAAATATTAAGAAATGGTGATTGATATCAGATAATGGCTAAATATTTGCCAAGAAGTAATTGTTTATCAGGTAAAGAAAAAATAACACTGATAATTTCATTAAGTAAATATCAGTGTATTTGCTGTACTACTTTGCATTAACCAACTGCATATTTAACTAATTAAAATAGATACTAATGTATCTCACTGTTGGTGATGTTTTGACAGCATTTTGTAAAGATAAATATCTACCATATACTTTTGGGACCAAGAAGTACATATAGTCAGTCTACTACAATCTGAATGCAGATCATCAGTTCTTTTAAGGAAGCAACTTAGATCAAAAAATAATTAAACATACTTTCATTCATATGTGAAATGTTTCAATGCTTCATGAACCAGAAAAATAAAGAAGTGAATTCTGGTCCCAAAATGAAGGTCTCCAGCTAAAGTCTGTGCATTATAAAAACAGGGGTTGTGGGATTGTTGGAATCCAAAAGCTTAGCAATTTCAGGGTGGAGTCTCCCCCCCCACAAACACCAAAAGAGGCACCTCAGATGTGTGACGAGGCTTTTATTTTAGTGACAGCACCAGCAACTCTGAACACGCTTTGCATAGCTTGGCTTGTTACCACAAGACCTAATGATGTATCTTTAAATCCTTGTGATAAAATTACCATTCAGAACTGTCAAAACACTTCCATTCTAGTACTGTGCATTTCTTTCATTTTTCTTTTTCTTAACCTTTTTTTTTAAATGTACTCAGTTATCCCAAAAAAGCATGCACGTACAGGGCAAGGAGTTCCTGTTGTTTCTTTCAGGTTGATAACAAACTTGCAAAACCAACCTGTTTCTCAAACTTGGCAATATTTGCTTCTAATTATTTCTGACCACATTTATAAAACACACAGAAAACAGTATTTGAGCTCCACAAATTCCAAATCCTATTTGTCAGTTGCTGAGCTGAAACAAAATTGTTCTTGTTTAAACTCATGTACTGTATTATAAGTTTTGGTGTTATTTTCAGCTGTGGGCTTTTAATTTAATTTTGTTTGCTGTACTAAACTGTTTTCACAATCTAATGCAGACCTTTTGCCCTAAAAGGACATTTAAATTCATACATGTGTGCATATATACAGAAGATAATATTATATAATATGTCCATAACCATCCATTAACTCTCCTTCCAAGGCTCTCTTTTTTGAGTTTTGGAAGAAAATAGATGCAAATGTTTCTGCCTATTGTGTTGGTGCAGGGAAAGAGAATGTACACTCAACATATTGAAAGATTATCCAGTAAAGATCATTCATAAAAGAAAAAGTTCCAATTTTGCAGGGAATAGAAAACCTGAAGCAAATTCCTTTTCATTTCCTTTGGAAATAATGCTTATATTAAGGTTTAAATTTTGTTTATAGACATACAGGATCATATAAAATAGAGAATTACTATTCAACCTATGACCAATTAAGTCATTAAGTAATTTCAGACATATTTCCTTACCTAAACCGAGAAACAGAATGACCAAAAGAAGGCAAAAAAATCAGTGGGAAAGGGAGCAACTCCCAAATTTCTGTTCAATGGAGAAGCTGGAAGGGAGTATTGGAAACCTTCCTCCTCCCCCTTCCCTCCCTCCCTTCGTCCCGCCCTCCTTTCAATCATATAATTGTAGCCAATACCTTGAGTTTGTAACCAATACCGTGGTGGCGCAGTACTGCAGGCTACTTCTACTGACTGCCAGCTGCCAGTAGTTCAGCAGTTCGATCCTGACTGGCTCCAGGTTGACTCAGCCTTCCATCCTTCCGAGGTCAGTAAAATGAGGACCCAGATTGTTAGGGGCAATATGCTGACTCTGTAAACTCTGTAAACCACTTAGAGGGGCTGTAAAGCACCATGAAGCAGTATATGTCTAAATGCTATTGCTATTGCTATTCTTGAACATATCTTGTAGATATCCCTGTATGCAATGAAAATACTATGAGAAGAAAAACATTAGAGTACCTTCTTCCTTCCTGTAAATACTTTTCTAATGGTATCAGAATATACTTTTTTCCTGAGAAATTCTAGTTTCTTTTTTCAGAAAGGTTTCTAGCCATTTTTATCGTGATAAGAAGAAAACTGAAGTTATAAAGAGTTGAAAAGAATTAGAAATAAAGAATATAATGATGTCACAAAATATCCAATAAGTATAAAACTTCTTCATTCTGTCTAGTTCTCCATTTACTTGCATGCTTTGTACTTTCTACTTTCCACTATCAAGTCTATATTCTTGCATTATACAAACCCACCCAAGTGATTCTGAAATATCCTAATACATATATTTAGGTTATGTATTTTGTTGAAATTTCAGAAATATTTTTACTAAACGTTATTTTATATTCCTCACAGTTATATCTTATTTCTATTTTAAAATATCCAGAATAACTTACAAACAGAAAAAATAATATTTTGTCCAAAGTGAATTATAAATGAGTAATGACTGAACAATAAGCTGAGTTATAAATAATAACTGATTCCTAAAACTAAATGATATCAAATTCTGTTAATAATAGTTTTTCATTAATATTTCATGTGGGGGATGACCCCTGCAAAGAATTGCAACTATTTTCTTTTTGCTTTTGTAAGCAGCTAACTGAAATACTGGAAGGAAATGCAAAGGTTTGGGCACCATTTACTCTCGAGTAATATAGCAGAGGCTAGATTTCTAATACGACCAACAACAGATCCTCTATTTATTTGCCATTTGTATTTCACAAAATTCAGAAATGTCTTTCTACACTCTGGGATTGAATAAATTACTTCTCACATTACAAATATGTCAACTCCATAACTCTCCTAAGATGCACTTTCTGCTGAACTGGAAAATTTCTCTGATGTGGCCTAGAAGTTGTGTTTTGGGATTTTATCTGTGCTGCTTCTGCCAAAATGTGGATTATCTATATTTACATTTATTTACCATACTGATTCTAACTGTTCAGACATCAGGCGGATCCTATCCCTCTAAACCTGATTTGAGACATCTGTCTTCTTGGACTCCTGCACTTGTGCCCATGTGCTCTGCTGGCCTGCTGCCACTCAATGTTGGACTGGCTTCTGCAGTGACTTTTCAGAGGAATTTTACATTCTACAAAAACAAACTTACCCCAAGAGAGGGAGATGTGTTTATTACTATTTCTGGATGACTGCCACAGAGAAGACTAAGAAATTCTAAAATGTGAGACTGTCACATGTATGCATGTCTATGTCAAAGCATTCATTTGTTTGTCATTTGCTCTACTAAAACAACAGAAGAGAAATAATCATGCAGTCTCTTGACATTAAATTCATAACAGGGTTCTTAAAGAGTTTTCTACCTTGTTGATTCAGCTATAATATATAAGCAGCTCAGTGATTTCATCTGTATTATAAATCCTCCATATTCTTCTGTGGCACATGACAACTAGGTGCACATCTATAATAGTCTCTATGAACATGGGAGAAACTAAAGAGAATGGTTCAAAAGTTAACATAAAGCAAACTAGATTTTGGGAGAATAGCATAAGTAGAAGTAACAACTCCACAATTCAAAACCTTTATAGGACATATAGAGATTGCAGCTTTCTTTGTAGTAACACTGATGTAGTAAATCTCAATCTCAAGCTTTCATGAGTATTTTCCTTGTCTTCCCCTCTCTTCTGCCTCCCTCCATCTCATTTGAACTTAAATCCTGTATCAATTTAATCACTCATGAAATGAGATGCAGCTTAGAAAAGCTAATGCTTTAGTCAGAAAAGATACTACCAGACTCCTGACTTTTTTTTATTTCCATAGCCAGACAACTCTCCTTCTACAATATCTGTAATGTAATATGCAACCATAACCCTAAAATAAATTAAAATGAGTTTGATGACCTAAAATGTATAGAGGGAGTAGGATATGTATTATAACTCTGATATTCTTTCTCTCTTTTTTCCTCTCTCCACATATGCACACAAACATACAGTCTATGATCCTCCTGCTTTAACTCAAGTTGAGGTTTATCCTTGGTTTCTGAATCCATGCCATTACAGAGTTAGCTAAAGTACAAAGAAAAAAAAAGTAGTGGGAAGCATCAGATTC